CTTCTGTAAGTCTTTTTTTGTTTTCATTGATTTGATTTTGACAAAGCGGCCTCCACTTCACTGTTTATTAATTTATTAGAGAAAAATCTTTTTAACATTTCTTTTCTCATTTCAATTTTGAACAATTCTCAAATTTATCAAATCGAAAAAACAAAAATATTTCATTGTTTTCGTCGAATAAAAATATTCAGATAGAATCCAATGAAACATAAAATCTTTGTCTCAATTGAAATTACAAAATATTTTTTCTTTTCATTTCTCCTATGAAATTCGAGACAAATTAACAAAAGATGAAGAATTTAATCGAAATTATCAAATTTAATTCAATTTTCATTAGTCCTTCAATCATGTTACTTAGCTTCAGACGCTTCTCTTGTATTTAATCAAATAATAGCAAAATATATTTATTGTTTTCTTTAAGTTATGAAAATGTACATGCATCAATGTTTCTGAAAGACTACGTATATCATAGTTAGAAAAAGATAGGAAGAAGAAAAAACAAACTCGAGCGATATTAACAAATTATATTATGCACATGATATAATTGTAATATTCATGGGAAGTAAAAATAATAACGTATTATATAAAAAAGTAATGATACGAATACTTTTCTAGTGTCCAATTTTTTATCAAAACATTCGAGTTTCCATTTTCTTTAAAACTATATATTTCTATTAGTCTTATCATTCTATGAGACTCAACGAGGGTGTGGGTGTGGATTAATGATGAAGCGAACACATGCGACTGTAAAAAAAATGTATTATTAAATAACGTTCATTTGAAAGTTAAAGAGTTTCTGCTCGACTAAATGTCATTTTAAATAACGGTCTTGTAAAATTATCAGGAAATTAATTTTAAAAAAAATAGAAGTTATAATTTGTTTGATAAAAATGAGATTGTAAAATCGAGAGAGAATCAATATAAAGTAAAAAAGATAATTTGAAATATACATTTCTTTATTTACTTAAAATTTATCCAAAACTAGTCTGATGAAAATTAGAATTCTAAATTAGACCGATTTTTAATTTTAACTATGACGTATATGTTCTTGAAAAAGAAAAAATAACAATTATGTTTTTCGATTTATATTCTCTTCAAAATATAATGCTCTTTTCTAAGATACGTTGACGTTTTGTGCAAATAAAGTACTTAAAATAGCTGATTATATTCTACAAAAATCATTTAACTATAAGATATTAACTATTATAATAATATATTTTTCAATAGTTTATATACAAAGTCATATGATATTTTTTTCAAATAGTTTTCTTTATTTCATTATGAGTTCTGTACGACAGATGCAATTCTTTCTTATTTTTGGTTTCTTGTTATCTTTTCATCTTAGTATGCAAGATCAATCGAAAACAAAAATCAGTGCTTTAGGATATCAATTCATTCCTATAGACACTTCTCGTTCTCCACTATTTACATGTACGACAAAAAGGTCTTTATATTGTTCTGCTGAATGTCACAAGCGTATCACTTGTCGAACATTTGATTTTGATGCTGATTCTTTACAATGTCGTTTATGGGAAATGGATAACACAACAGGCTCAATTGTTGCTTCACCATCAAAACCACGATCATCTGTTGGTTCAGTTCAATTCTCTCCTAATAATTATGTTAACATTCACAATCAGTCATGCAATCATTGTGATCAAAGTCGTTATGAAATATGTAATGTAAACAGTTCAACTTGCCAATGTCCTCCATTTACATATTGGAATAATGGAATGTGTATGACACAATTATTTCAAGGTCAATTATGTTCACATACAGATGCTTGCCGGGCGGATCTTAATCTTTCATGTCAACCAACCTGTAACTTTACTTATCGGTGCTCTGCTTGTAAGTCATTTTAGTTCTACTCAGAACTAACATATTTTTCTTATGAATTATTTCTACGAATGATGCTACTGATATAATATCTCAAAAACACTAAAGAAATGTATGAGATAAGAATAATTCTTGAATACTTCTTTGTATTTGTAGCTCCAGTGATTGGTAATGGTGTGACAGTTGCTGGTTTTTGCAATGGCAGTACAGATGATGGTACATATGGTGTAATGGGTCCTTGGGGTATCTATGTTTCACCATTCGATGGAATTCTGTATGTAACCAATTTTGTTATGCCTCGATTTCAATCATTTTCACCATTCTCACGTATTGGATCTACGATTCTTTCCAACGGACTCAGTCAGCCTGAGGATGTATTTGTTGACAGTTCACATAATATATACATGACTGAATACACCATTAATCAAGGTATAATGTACATTCAACGACCAGGAATGAATCTCACAAGCTTTCCATCAATAGGTCGATCAGACTCATCCTGTTCTTTGACAGGATTGTATGGAATTGATGGTGTAACAGTTGATTCATTCGGTAATATTTACGCAATATTGTCTCATTGCTTTATGATCGTAAAATGGGTACCAAATAGTACAACTGGTATACTTGTTGCTGGAAACCCAGGATATTATGGCTCTGATAGTAATTCGTTAGATTGGCCTCGATTTATGCATTTAGATGAAGACCGAGCAGCCTTATATGTCGCTGACACTAGTAACAATCGCATTCAGAAATTTATGATAGGCAGCAACGGAACAGGAATAACAGTAGCAGGTGGGAATGGAGCAGGATCGAATCTTAACCAATTGAATAATCCTTCAGGTGTTTGGATGACACGTAATGGTCAAACTCTCTATATTGCTGATACTAATAATAATCGTGTTATGCGATGGAATCTTGGAGATATACAAGGATCGGTTGTAGCCGGCAGTGCAAGTGGTATGGCGGGTAGTACCAATACACTTCTTTCGAGTCCAGGTGATGTGGCACTTGATCCTACTGAAACATATTTATATGTTTCTGACTATTATAATAATAGGGTGCAACGATTTCTTCTTCAATAATCTTTTATAAACTAATTATTTGAATTGTAACTATATAAACCTGCTTTACATAATCAATGTGCGTTTCTATCATTTTTCTGTATGTTGTAGAAATTTTATGTGCAATAATATAATACATATTAACATACATTAAAAAGTGTTTTGTAACTAAGATGATTTGTAAAATGATGAATTATCAATTCTAAACTATTTAATAATACAAAGTTCTGCAAAGCTCTTAAGAATGAACACATGGTCCTATAGTAAATTAAATCTCCGCATCCAAATTCTCACTCACTGGTCTTAAGATCTTCAAAAATCAATTCACTTTTCTTTCTCTTCTTCTTGCTTTGGTGATAGTCAAAACTTTGTTTGAAAATTTTGTTTTTTTTCTTCTAGAATATTAAACTTCGACATAGTAAAAACAATAAATTCATTGATGTCATGTGCTAACAACGAATAGTTCCATTATAAAAAAGAAAAATAGACTCAATCACATTCAAATCTTATTTCGATATTCTTTTGTTAAATGCATGAAATAGATTTATAGTAATATTGATTCAAAATTATTCTAGTAAAAAAATCGATCTAACTCAAGATTTAACCAAATTCATTGTTTAATATAATTTAACACAGTAAATCAATTCCCTAGAAGTATCCATCTTGAGGGTGCGGGTGTTTCTTTTCATTACCAACACCCACACCTTCAAGATGCTGCAGAATTGTATGAGAAATCACTCCAAATCATAGATCGATGGCCATTATGTATTACAATACGGCAAGGATTTATGAAGATCTGCAGAACTGTACAGCTGATGTGAAACATTCTGAAAACTCTCTCAATAGCGCTCGTTTAGGTTACGATCTTGATCATTCGGAAGTAAAAGATAATCAATCTCTGGTAGACAGACTCCATAGTAGTAGCGGAGCCACTAGTGGAGCTGGGTGGGACTAAGCCCTACCTAGGAAATTTTTGAATTTTTTTTCTGGAATAGAGCTTTCAACGATACTTTTCTATTTCATTATACTATGAAAGATAAAGTTTCTTCACCCTTTCTACTATATAAAGAGGTACATCTAGCTATGTATTGGAATTTTTTAATCAAAACTATCAAATTAAATTCAGTTTTCATGAAAAAAAATCAAAGAGATTTTACTTCGTTGTTTTGTCAAAATATGTCTTTTCTTCAAATTTTAATTGATTTTCAATAATAAAACTTTATTTTCTACTTTATTTCTCGATTATTTATTCAATAAAAAATTTCATCACAAAATTACTTCAAATTTTTGAATTCGATGATTAAAATGATCAGCAATATACAGATTTCCTTCTTCATCAAAAGATAAACCAGCGGGACCATATAATTGATTTGATTGATATCCTTGCCCATTTCCACCAACAACAATTTCACCTTCTTCTTTTCCTTCATACCAACGCATTATTCGATGGTTCATAGAATCTGCTACATAGATTTGACCCAAATTATCAACAATTACTCCTTCAGGATAATACAACTGATTGAGATTCCCTCCTTGACCAATTCCTCCAGCCACAACTATTCCTTCTTTTGCATCTTTTCTCCATTTCATCACACGATGATTGTTATTATCTGATACATAAACAGATTGATCTTCATCAACAAACATAAAGCTAGGATTGCTGAGTTGGTTGAGTTTATTTCCTTTTCCATTCCCTCCAGCCACTACAATTCCTTCATTGTTATATTCTCCCATTTTCCATCGTCTCACTTCATTCTTATTATGATCAGAAACATAAAGAAATCCATATTTATCCATTGCTAAGCGAGAACAGTCAATATTGTGAATAAGAATTTGTTGATTTTGATTCATCCATTGAATCACTCGTTCGTTTCCACGATCAGCAATAATGATAGAATGAGTTTATTGATCAACAATCACACCTGATGGTAGATACGATTAATCCATTCGATTTCCTTGTCGATTTCCACCTGCAATGATTTGTCTTTCTCTGGCATTATGTTTCCATTCAACAATACGATGATTGTAATTATCAGCAATAAAAATATTTTTCTTTCCATTCATAAAGATTCCAACAGGGCCATGGAGTTGATTTAATTGTTGTCCTTCTCCATTTCCACCAGCCACAGTGATGCCATTTTGTTTCCATGTAAGATTGATCTTATCTAAAACAGATGAAATTTATGGTTTCAAATATATTAAGAGTGTGGATAAGAATGTTGCATCTGGCATCCACAGATCCACTCACTTTGCATTGGTGGACGCATAGTTTCATCAGTCATTTCAATTGGATAGCAAAGAGGACGATCATCACATTCCGGATGTCGAACGCAAATCGTATTAGATTGACATGATTTGCCTGAAGAATTACATGGTACAAGACAATAACATGTTGGCCAAAGAAACCCACAAACACCTACATCATTATTAGTACCTACCATATGAAAGCACCCACATGCACTGTTTGTTGAGCATTCACTATACTGAGGTGTTTTCTCGCATATTTGCGATTCTATTTGAACTATGAAAATGATAAACTAATACATATAAATATATAAAATAGAATAGAAATCAAACCTGTTATGCTAAAATATAAAATTAATAAATGTTAATAAAATTAATGATAAAAATCAATAATTATTTACCTGAAAATAATAAAAACGACATAGCAGTAGATATTGATCATAGCCATAATTGATTTGAAAATAAGAGAATATAATAAAAAAAATGTGTGTTTTTATTTTAAAACACAGATAATATCCTAAGTCAATGTAATTGCAATACAACAGATGCATCTATTCACACATCGATAATTGGAAATTTGATATCGATTTTATTTCTTTGTAACCTTTCTGATTCTATTCTATTACAAATACAATAAAAATGCATAGATCATCATGTGATAAAGTTAAGATTCAAGTGGTATTAGTATATTTGTAAAGAATAGTTATTTTCAACATTCGAAAGAACTGTTGTATTTAAATGTAATTTCAGATATAATTCTAACTTGTATATAATAAGAAAAGGAGAATGTTCTCAGTAGTATTTAATCGATATAGTACAAAACCTCAAAAGAAAAGTAATTCTCAATGAAAAGAATTACTTTCAATTCTGTATCAGTATTATGTTCTTTTCAACTACAGCTAAGTCATACCCACACCCACTCTGGTATCTGAATATCTAAGCAAAAAGCCTTTATCATATGCTATTTGTAATGTTGAGTATATTGTTAATGAAAGATCAGTTACGAGCAAATCGACATTTGTACGTTTCGCTCAAGTAGGAAAATTGATCGATGAAGTAGTCACTGTAATTGAGTTTACATAGTTGAGTATAGTTTTGAATATGAATAGCTATTATTTTCTTCGTAAAGGTGAACAATATGATACTGATGTTCAAACGTACGTATGGATGTGGATGTGGATGAAGAAGCCAACAACGCCCAATCCACATACACCCTAGAAACGCGTCTTGATAGCTGTTCACACCCACATCTACACTCTCAAGATGGTTGTTGATGCAACTCAAATGGTGGCTGTGTAGAAAGAATATACTTTTATGCTTTACACGTAATTTCTTTTCTGCAGACCGAATATCGTAAATGACTATAGAACTCATGGTTGTTCTTATCAGTGAAAGTCTATTGTTTCTTTCGGTGAAAAAGAAGTTGCCTTTATCTCTTATACGTCGAAAGATTCAACAAGATCATATTGTAAAAAGTTAATGCATATAAGAATATGCAAACGCATATAGCTATATAATTAGAAGGATGTGGGTGTTGTCTGTATTTGATATCTACATCCTCATTTTCATCCACAACCACACAGGCATACGAGTAATAAAAACATTTTTCTTTTTTTGATACCTTTTCAACTGCTTAAGAAGGAAAGAAAAAGAATATCTGTAAGTTGTTTGGCCTTGAAATGTCTCTTGATATCTACAGAATAGTAATTTATATATTCGATATCAAGATTACTTTTTTTCTTTCAGTCTTCATCATTAAAACTCAAGAAGTCATTCATTGTAGACAGAATAGTATAAAACCACAACAACAACTTTCTTCGAAAATCAGAAGCATATATAAAGAGGACGGCGTATATTTCTTTCTACAACATTGACGACAAAACTGAAGGTAAAGCACGTTTATTAACTTCTTACTTATGGGCTGTGGAAATAGTTCAAGTGTACACGTTGTTTCGGATACTTCTTTATCTGAACCTAACATTAATAATCAACAAAGCATATCCATAAGTGATACTGAAAAACTATTACCTGGCATTTCATTACAGAAAAATAAAAGAAAAAGTATAACGAGTAATGAATCACATTCAAATGTTCAGGTGTATAATATTAAGAATCCGTCAACACATTCATCGCATGATGTCAATCAAAACATAGTCATTATTTGGGCAGATGCAAATATTGATCAATCGAAAAAAACGTATCATGATTCCATAACAAAACTTCAACGTATTACACCAGCGGTTTATTCATGTACAAATTCTGCACAATGCATCAATTATCTCGATAATATTAATGATAAAAAAATCTTTCTAATCGTATCGGATGGTTTGGGAGAAGAACTTGTACCACTTGTTCATGACAAACCGCAACTCGACGCCATTTACATATATAGTCAAGTAAAAAGGCAACGTCTACCTTGGGCAAATAAATGGTCACAGAAAGTGAAAGAAATCTTGTTCACTATGGAAGATATCTATCAAAAGATCAAGGCTGATAGTGGTTTAGTTGGTAGCTTGACACCGATCAGTATCATACGCCGAATGGATGTTCCGAGCTCGACTGCAAACGAACTAGATCAATCATTCATGTATACACAATTGCTGAAAGAGATTCTGTTAGAAATGAAACATGATCCTGAAGCAAAAGCTAAACTAGTCGAATATTGTCGACCAAAATATGCGGATGATATTCTTCAATTGGGTCTTATTGATGAATTTGCTATCGAATATAACAATCGTTTAGCTATTGAATGGTATACAAAAGAATCCTTCCTTTATGGGTCACTAAATCGAGCTTTAAGAACACAAGATATCGAGATGATCATGAAAATGGGATTCTTTCTACAAGATCTTCATCAGCAAATTGTAGAAATGCATAAAGCACAATCAGAAACACGTGATAATGATACGTTCACTGTTTACCGAGGACAGGGTATGGCACTCGAGGAACTGGAAAAGATAGAAGCAAGTCAGGGTGGCCTTCTCTCGTTCAACAATTTCCTATCAACAACTATCGATGAAAAAATCGCTATAGACTTTGCAGAAAAAGTACACAAGAATTCAAAAGTTGTAGCGATCATCTTTCAGATGGAAATTAATCCAAAGAAATCCTCGGTTCCTTTTGCTTTTATCGACAAAGCGAGTAAATATGAATATGAAGGTGAAAAACTTTTCTCGATGCATACCGTCTTTCGGATTATGGGTGCACGAAAACTGTCTGCTGGATTTTGGCAAGTCAATTTAACTTTAACAAGTGATAATGATCCACAACTGAAACTTCTTTCTGATTATATGCGAAAAGAGCTTGGTGAAGGTGATTCACTTAGCAAACTTGGTCATTTAATGCTTAAAATGGGTGAATTCGATCAAGCTCATGATATATACGGTTCACAATTAGATTCATCAGACAAACAGAATTGGCGTAGACATTCTTATCTGAATCATCAACTCGGTTGGGTTTTCAGTCAGAAAGGAGAGTACAAAACTGCACTTTCATACTATGAGAAGGCACTCAATGGTAAACTGGATTTTCTACAACCAGATGATCCAGTGTTAGCTCCAACTTATCATAATATCGCTGGTGTTCATCGATCACTGGGTGATTATACAGCTGCACTTACATCATATCAAAAAGCATTAGCTATAGAAGAGAAATCTCTTCCTCCTGATGATCCTCTACTCGCTACAACATATACCAGCGTCGGTTTAGTGCATCGAAAATTAGCGAAATATGACAAGGCACTTTCCTTATACCAGAAGGCTCTCGCAATTCGACAGAAAACACTTCCACCAAATCATCCGGATTGTGGATCTATGTTCAGCAACATTAGTGGGCTCCATCAAGATATGGGCGATTACTCAAAAGCTCTTGAATTCTCCCAGAAAGCACTTGATGTTTATAAGAAATCCCTTCCACCAAAGCATCCAGATCTAGCTACAAGCTATGGTAATTTTGGATCTGTTTACAGTTTCCTGGGCGACTATGTAAAAGCACTGGAATATTACGAAAAAGCACGTGAGATCCGAGAATTATCTCTTCCTGCTAATCATCCAGATAACGCTAGCACCTATAGTTGTCTCGGCTCAGTATATAATCATATGGAAGATTATTCTAAGGCACTTTCATGTTTTGAACAAGCACTGGTGATTCAAAAAGTTGCTTTTCCTGAGAATCATCTGATTTTTGCTAATACTTACAATCATTTTGGATCCGTATACAGCTCGATGGATGATAACTCAAAGGCGTTATCATATTATCAAAAAGCCTTTGAAATTCAAGAACGTGCGCTTCCTCCAAATCATCCCGATATAGCTAATAGTTACAATAATCTCGGTACTATTTATAGTTCGATGGGAGATAAACAAAAAGCTCTATCGTTTTACGAAAAATCACTTAAAATCGAAAAAATTTCGTTGCCTTCGACTCACCCATCTCTCGTTACTTCCTACAACAATATCGGGACTATTTATCAATCTATGACTCAATACTCTACGGCACTTTCTTCATATCAGAAAGCGTACGAAATCTGTCAAAATAATCCCCAACTTTGTCAATCGGATAAAGCAGCTACGACTTTGAACAAGATTGGTTCAGCACATCATGCGATGAAAGAATATACTACCGCCCTTTCTTTTTTCGACAAAGCATTCGAAATATTAAGTAAATCTCTTACACCTAACAACCGTGATTTAATTATTACATATAACAACTTCGGTTTAGTCTATCACGCAATGAATGAATATCAGAAGGCACTCTTGTATTATGAAAAAACACTTGACCTTGAACGAAAATCACTTCCTAAGGATCATGGTGATTTGGCTATCTCATACAGTAATATTGGATTAGTATATGATTCAATGAAAGATTATACAAAAGCGCTTGCATTTCATGAGAAAGCACGTGCCATTAGAGAAAAAAAATTGGCTCCTGATAGTCTGTTACTTGCTTCTACTTATAATAACATTGGTTCAGTATATTTTGGTATGAAAGATTATAAGCAGGCACTCTTGTTCTATAAAAAAGCAGTTACCATCCGTGAAAAGTCTTCCTCGAGAGATGAACTCGATTTAGCAACCAACTACAATAATATTGGGGCCACTTATAGTTGGATGAACGAAAAATCGAATGCTCTGAAATATTATCAGAAATCGTTAACTATTCGAGAAAAGAAACTGTCTTCAGATGATCTAATACTTGCTACAACCTACAGCAACATCGCCTCTGTGTATTCCGATATGAAAGACTATTCAAATGCGGTCTCGTATTATTTAAAGGCAGTCACAATTCGTGAAAAGTTTTCCTCGAGTGATGAACTTGATTTAGCAACCAACTACAATAGTATTGGGGCCACTTATAGTTGGATGAATGAAAACTCGAATGCTCTAAAATATTATCAGAAATCATTAGCTATCCGAGAAAAAAAACTACCTTCTGACGATCTAACACTTGCTACAACTTACAATAATGCTGCCTCAATGTATTTCAATATGAAAGACTATTCAAATGCGATCTCATATTATTTAAAGGCAGTCACCATTCGTGAAAAGTCTTCCTCGAGTGATGAACTCGATTTAGCAACCAACTACAATAGTATTGGGGCCAGCTATAGTTCGATAAATGAAAACTCGAATGCTCTAAAATATTATCAGAAATCGTTAGTTATTCGAGAAAAGAAACTGTCTCCAGATGATCTAACACTTGCGACAACATACAATAATACCGCCTCGATATATTTCAATATGAAAGACTACTCAAATGCGGTCTCATATTATTTAAAGGCAGTTACCATTCGCGAAAAGTCTTCCTCGAGTGATGAGCTCGATTTAGCAACCAACTACAATAATATTGGGAACACTTATAGTTGGATGAATGAAAACTCGAACGCTCTGGAATACTATCAGAAATCATTAGCTATTCGAGAGAAGAAGCTATCACCTGATGATCTAACACTTGCTACAACTTATAACAGCATCGCCTCAATGTATTTCGACATAGAGGACTATCGAAATGCGATCTCATATTATTTAAAGGCAGTCACAATTCGTGAAAAGTCTTCCTCAAGAGATGAACTTGATTTAGCAACCAACTACAACAATGTTGCTGTAGCTTATGGAGCAATGGAAGACAAACAAAATGCACTCATATATTACAAAAAAGCACTTGAGATTCGCGTAAAAAAACTGTCTTCTACCGATCCGTCACTAGTTCCACTTTATAGTGCTATAGCGTCAATATATTCATCCATGGAGAACAAATCAGTTGCTGCAGAATTCTATGAGAAATCACTCAAAATTCAAGAAACGTTATCGTCTCCAAATCATGAATCGATGGCCATTATGTATTACAATACGGCAATAATTTATAAAGATCTCCAGAACTACACAGCTGCTGTGAAACATGCTGAAAATTCTGTCAAAAGCGCTCGTTTAGGTTATGGTCCCGATCATTCGGAAGTAAAAGAAAATCAAGCTCTGGTAGACAGACTCCGTAACAAACAATGATGGATAATTTCATCCTGAATCAATTAACTTTTTTCTTTATATCTTCTTTCCTACTTAATTGAATACCTCACTGAATATCGAAATATGTAGCTACTGAAAGATTATTTCATAAACTAATTAATAAAATAGATGAATAGCGAAATGCGTTCAAGCTTTGATTTTATAAAACTACATATAAGTTTCATTCAAAATGTATCATGTATGTTATAGGTATAATTATAGATTACATATTACAAGCGTAATAATGAAGACTACCACTCTTATCCTACATACACGTATATATGTAAAACTAGAGTGTGGGTGTTGGGATGTGGGGATTCATTTTTCTTCTACACCCACACCTACACCTTTTTGAAAAGTCAAATAAGGTTTAAAAAAAACTTTATTAAAATTCAAAGTTAGAACATTTTTGTGTTAATTATGAATAGGAGAAAATTCTGATGACATCATATAGTGGTTAATATGGTGTGAGCTAATTGTGACGAATTTGTCATTCGATCAAAATATGGAGTTAGATCTCTTGAATCAGCTTCACGGGTAAGTGATCCTAAATAGTCATTTCCGTAATAAAAATATTGAGATAAATTGAACAAGACTGAAATTAAATATGGAAATAGTCGAGCACCAAACCGAATAACCAAGCGTCGTTTAAAATGATATTTCTTCATTTGTTTTTTAATAAAATTAAGTTTTTCATCGTGAAAAGAAAATATCTTTCCAGTAACAAATGTATAAAATTTGATTAGAAGAGTGATAACCGAAACAACATATGCATAAATAACGACTAGAAATGAATAAACGATCACCATTGGTATAACATTTGTAAAAGCATATGGAAGAAGTAAACCTCCAACAAAAATAAATGTTATAGTTGACAAAACTAAAGCTGGATAAAAGATAATCATTGCTAATATATTTCGCCATCTTTTCTTATGATGAATCAATGGAATTCTTAATTCTCTCATGTCACGTAATATAATTAATTTAGAAATATATTCATAAGCAAAATCAGTAAATGGACCAAATAAATAATTATATATTCGATAACCAAATAAATTATAACAATTCCATGTCGTAGCATTTGCACCTGACATACATGAAGATTGAATAAAACAAAACCAAATTGTATGAGCAAGTAATGGTAAAACAGAGACAACAATATCATGTAAATCAAATGTTGGCATTTCTTCTTTTTCATCAGTTTTTATTAAGATGCCTTTACTATCTCGAAGAAAATAAATGGTTCGAATACGAGACGAACGCCGTCCTGTCGATATACTATTGATACCACTTTGAATCAGTTCTGAAGATAATGGGAATGGAGGTCGAGGTGGAGGTGGGGGTGGAGGTAGAGGTGGAATTCTTTTAATGATAATTAAATCACTTGGTAATAGCCATGTTCCATAGACTACTCGATCCCAAAGTCGTAAAGAGATTTCAAATATGAAAAATTGTGCAACGATAATAAAGTACGGTTGAATACCGGTATTATCATTTCGAAATGTGTAAAGTAATGGATTAGCATTTTGATAATCAGGCGGAATAGAACTCGTTCCACTCATCAATATTTTTTTTGTTTTGTCTTAGAATTAAGTAGTTATGGTATCAAAACAATAGTAAAGGAGACTATATATTTGATATATTAATATTATATGCAAACTGATAGCTTATATGTACTTTTATCTATCACATATGAAAACGTAATGTTGAAGTGTCATGAGAACGAAAGAAAAAAAATGGTATGCATGTGTGTCGGCAAGGTAAATTTGATCGTATCATAACATCAAGGTATTGTATATCATTTACATCTTTTTTTTCTTGATTTAATAAGCACGGCCATGAACGAAAGTTAGTATTAATGAAAAATACAAAATTTAAAATCATTAATTGCATTAACGAATACAAGGATCGTTTTTAATGCTTCAGACATGTCCTTCGTCTAAATTGATAAGAAATCAGTAAAAAAACTAAGATAATTTATGTATAGATATCTCATGCAATGTGTAAAGATAGTTAATTTAAAAATAAGAAGTGTTAACTGCTATCAATGCAATGAAAAAAGTATGAGAAATTACCGAATAATTGCTTATGTGTTTTTTGGCATTATGTTGATCATTTTTATTTCGTTCTTTAGAAATGATTGATTAAAATGTAATAAATAGTCAAATAACATGCGTTCAATAGTATCGATCTTAAAGATCGTCTTATAAGCTGGCCCATCATACTCCTTTGTTTTGTCATATTTATCGAGGCAATGTGATATCTTAGACATTTTTCTACAAGTAGTGATCAATAGAAAGAAACAATCGTTATATTTCTACGTCTTTTGGATGTAAGAAAATGCCATTTAATGTTTACTTAAAAAATTATATATATTAGAAGGGGTATGCGTATAGGTATGATTATTATACACATGACACATCCACGCCCAACTTTTTACTTTCTTCGCCGGAATAATTATCTAACCCACTAATTACAAACACATAGTTAATTTAAAAGATTTATTTTTTGAATCTATTTAAGCAAAAATCATATAAGCATATAAAATATTTAGAAATACACGCGCACAAAAAGCTTTAGCATCTAACTAAAATTGAGTATACTGATATCAATTATCTTCCGATATTCATAATTGCAAAATAACACCTAAACTCCGGCTTTTTTCAATCTTAATAATTCTGCTTGTTGATCGACATAAATCTAGAAGTATAATACAAAATAATTTGAAATAGAAATACTTCTGATATTAACATACTCTATCAAATGCTTCTAATAATTGATCGATTCTGTTGGAAAAATTATCTATTGAATCAACATACTGTGAACGCATTCGACAATCTCGTTCTTCTTGAATTTCTGATTGATTTAATTTTTTCAGACCTAAAATATTAATAGACAACTATGTTCTTCTAAGATACGCCAATCTTGAAAGTGAGTGTACAAATCTTCTCTTCAGTCATACTCTTCTCTACTCGTAAAAAAAATAATTATGAAAATGAATGGCACACAAGTGAAGCTCTGAAGTCATTTAATCTAATTGACTTGAATAAATCAAACAAAACTACGTACCTGTCCATCGTAAAAATTTCTTTAGCATAAATGATAATATAATTTGATCTTCTTTTTGATTCTGTTTTGCATGACGAAAACTATCATTAATTATTGAAAGAAACATACTTAAACAAACAAAAACAACTAGAAATATAAATAACGTAAAACAGAATGGACCCAGAAAAGCATCAGCTTCCACTATTTGTGATGCACCGCATTTGACTAATGTCATTTTAAAAAGCATTTGAGCAGTGTTTAATAAACTTGAACATGACGAAAGTTTGGATACAAATAATAAATAAAATAAACAAAGAAATGCTATAAATACAATTGCAAGCATTATTGAAAATGAAATCAGTGCTTTTGCACAATATTTTAATGTTTCAGAGAATAACGATATTTGTTGATTAAAACGAAGTAATTGAAGACATTTAATCGTACTAAAAAAACAACAATAACCAAGAAGAAATGTTAAAATATCATTAACATAAACCGCAAGTTGTAAATTGATATAAATATAACCATTTGTTTGTTCGAATAATTGACTTATACGATTAGTTTCTTGAAAACGCCAAAAATAAACTCCAATACTTCCCAATGAACAACCAATTATACCTGATTGAATTATTGACCAAAATTGATGAAAATATTTTAATCTTAATTCAAATAGTAATCGAATTTCAATAATTATAAAATAAATAATAAAAAATATGTAGAAAATTGTACAAACTAATTGTAATATTGATGTAAATGCTAAATTTAAAAAACAAAAATTTACTTATCTATAGAAATAAAAAAAATAAAGAGTGACTTACTGTAGAAGTTAATTGGTTCAAAATGGGCTGTTGTATAAACACCACCTGTTGGTAAAAATTCAGCAAGTAAAGTAACTGCAGTTAATAATTGAACACTTGGATTATATAATGTTAGTTGAATAAAAACAGCTCTTGTTTTCTCATCAATCCAATCTAATTGATGAAGTGTAGATAGATTTGTTTTCATATCAGATAAAGGGCCACGAAATTCATAGATATAACCACCTCCGCTATATGTTCCAAATTCACCTATATACGAATATGTATCTAATTCATCACTCGTAGAATAGTTAAATGCTTTTATCACTGATGAACTGAATTCTTCGGTCGTCGCATTTGTTGTCCATCCTGGTTGAAATAATTGTGTTTCTTCATTAGCAAAACTATAACTATCTTCACATATTGAAATAATACGTTGGTCGGGGCATAATTCTGATTTAACACGCAATTGTCTGATTGTTGCCCAACCAATTAATCGATTAGATTTATCATTTAAAAATCCATTTAAATATTGTGGAATATCTCCATTATACCATTGTTGTGCACGAATATTTGAAACAAAACTATTTTCTAACCAATACCAATATTCATCGATCGTATTGATCTAGAAAAACAACACTCATTTCAATACAAGAAAAGAAGAACAAACTTGAGTATAATCAGCAGTCGTTTGTCTTTGATTGAGAAAATAAGCTCGTAAATGATTGACTTGAAAGAAACTATGTTGTTCACGACTTGAATAAGTTATTATAAAAACTAATATGGCAAATGTGAAACAAATAATGAATTCGCGAATAATTGCCCACATTTGAATTTCTTTTAAACGTTGATCACGAGCATAAATAATTTCATTTTCATTAAGACGATTAATACTTTTTCGAGATTGGGAAGAAAATATTGAGCGATACTATAAATGGAAAATTAATTTTTCTATGGAATTCTAAAAGAAAACAAACCTCAGGTGAATGAAGATACTCTTCATCATTAGATATATTAAATTCATCATCTTCATTTATATATTCACTTGTTTCTTTATCATCTTTTGAATTTCGACAAAAACATATAAAGAATATAGCCAAACATATAATCTTCAAAGAGTAAATATTTCAAAAATATAGATTAAAAGTGAGAAGAAAGTATACTTTAATAGGTTGAGTAAAAATAACCGATGAGAAAAAACCAGTAAGAACTGATGTTAACCATTGTTGAGTTTTGACATCACCAAATTCAATTCCTCGAACAATGATAAAAAATATTGAAACAGCAATAATTATCAATGAAAGACCATAAGCAATAAATAAGCACCACCAAGGAAATGTTATTGAAGATTTCTTTTTCTTAATTTCAGGGATATCTTCCGAACTACTATAATTAAGAATGTGAGTGTCGATGAACGTATTTAAAAATATATACGAACGTTTTTTGAGATGATTTCATCTTATATAATGCTTCACGTATTGGTGCAATTTGTCGACGAGCTCGAATACGTCGAAAGAATTGAACAATTAAGAGACTTGGAATAAATGTAAATAATTCGACCATTATACCAATTCCAATCTTAAATATAAAAAGATGTTTTTATTAATCAGAAATTGAAAATTTCGGAGACATAGGGGTGTGAATATAGCCTATATTTTTCGTTATATAAATCAATATATACCTGTTGTGGTGCTATATAAAAAGGACCAATTGATAAAGCAACATTATGTGTTTCACTTGATGCATTCGCTTCATTTGATAAATCATAATACATGATATTAATTAACATCGAAGTAAAGAATAAAACAAAACAACATGTACATCGTTGAACACGTGTGAATTTATTTGATGGTGGACGAGAAAATATTGAAAACCATAAATGACCATCGGAAATACTATGATATGCTTTTTTTGATAATACATATGAAAATTCTTGCATTTCTGCGTCATTAGCAATTGGTAAAATTCGTTCGATCTAAATTGAAGACAAAAATAACAAATAGTATGTTTTCTGTTACATGACGTACTCGTCCATCATCTTTTTCAACTGCAAACCATTGTTGAGAAATAAAATAAAACTTATCCAAAGTTTGTAAATCTCGAACAATAATATATTTTAAAAACCATGATGCTGAAGAACCTTCACCTGTATTATCATGCCATATACGAATATAATTTAACAATCCCAATGATCTACATGTTAATCTTTTATTAAATCTTCAAAAAAAAATAATAATTTTACTTTGGAACAGCAATAATAAAAGAATTAATTCCACCACGTTGAAAAATCTTTCGATGAGGATCAGAAAATAATCGAATTTGTGTTTGATTATTTTCACCCGATAAAACAAAATAAACATTGCAGAAAGAAAAAAAACATTTTCTTAAAATATTTTCTTTGTACTATATTACTTTTGAATCTGTTCCAGCATTTGTTCTTTGACCAGTAAAAACAAGAATTTGATAATAATAATGATCAGATTTATTATTATCAGCTAATGGTGTTACTCCCAACTAAAAAATGTCACAAGTTTTGATTTTATAAAATATATTAAACAATATGTTTTAATTTACTTTTTCAAAATCTTTTTTATCTTTAAAACGTGCATAAATCATTAAAATAATATAAATTATTGAAGTCACTATCATTGTTAAATAAACTGTTTTATTTTTCATAAAATCAGCATTTGCAAAAACATAACTCCAATTAATTGGTGCAGGTAAAACAATAAAACCACCAGCAAATGTTGTCAAATGAGTTGAAAGACATTCAGTTTCATAATGGTTTGTTAATGATCCAACCTATGGTTAAACAAATATCAAATAATCTTTATTTTCCTAATCCATCTTATACTTACAATTAATCCATCTGATTTCCAATTATTATTATCATCAAGATAATAACAACCTGATGTATATATGCGAAGTTCATAATTTGATGTAAAATTAATCGATTCATCGGTGATTGGTAAAGACGTATTTATTGAAGAATTATTTAAACAATAATTATTAATTTCTGTTGAATTTAATTCTCTTATTCCAAATATTAATGATTGATGACCAGGTGTTTGTTGATTATCAATAAAATATCGATATATATCATCATTGGTTAAATCTATAATTACAAAAAAGAAATCTATATGAATGTTCAAGAAAAGAAAACATACTGAAAGGACAGAACATTGTCCATCCATCAATTAGATTGATTGAACTATTTAATTGTGGCGTTTGATCAAATTTATAAATAAATAAATAAGCAAGACTTCGATTTAAAGAATGGATTTCAAAATGAACTGAAATTGGAAGTGAACTTGTTATATTAATATAATGATAATTAAATAATAAATTATTAATAGTTGAATTAATTGATGTAACATTTTGTAAATACATTGATGGAATTAATATATTTGGATCACGAGGAATAATCAATTGTATTGGATTATTTTGGTGGGCTTCAAAAGAAACTTCATTTCCATTTTGATCAATAATCGAAAGTGAAATTGCTCTTGAAAGATTTGTATTTTGAAAATTTCCAAATGAAGCAAGTGGATCTATTTTGGACTGAATAAAACAAAAATAATTTAATAAAAATGATTCAAATTATAGAAAATTACTCGAAGTGAAATTGAAGAATTAGACGTTGTGTTTAAAATAAAATCTGATGGAATATTAAATTGAGCATTTTCAACTTGTTTCACTAATCTATCTTTAAGTGATGCAATTGATATAGTTTCTAATGATACAAATGATTGAGATGTATTCATTAGTGAACTTTGACCAATATTTAAATGAATATTTAACGAAGAAGTTAATAACGATATCATTTGTGTCACTTGACTATTGATTTGATTTGCTAATTGTTTTTGATAATAAATATTTCGATTTTTTTCAATTGTTTCAGTAGAAAAATCATTTCCATGAGAAAATAAATCTTTAAAACAAAAAATTCAAATTCAATAATAATTAATCATTTAAAAGATCTTACTTAAATTTGACCATGCAGATTCAAGATCAGTATCATAATCAGTAGATATGACATTTGCACGAGAATTATCTAAATCAAGTACCTCTGTTCGTCCTTGTAATGGTCCATTCACAGCCTAAAATTATTAGGCTTCATAATTGAAGAAGAAAAATTTTTTTTTATGTTAAAATCTTGAGGGTGGGTGTGGGTGTGGGTGTGGGTGCTGATTTCGTTCCATATTCTCACTCATACCCATCTTGTACAGTTAGTCCTTCAGTACTTATTACTGCCATGTTAGATAATTCTCAGATAGTGATTTTTACCGAGAATCGTTTCCTCATAATAAATCCTAGTTTAATGCAGAAGTAAGGGTACTGATTTCATATATTTTACATTTAAAATATTTGAAGCACATTGAAAAAGTTGATTTGATGCTGATTGAGCATCTTCATATGAGATTTTTTCAAATATTGAATACAATGCAGCAGATAATTCGTAGCATCTATTTGATACAAGCATCTAGAATTATTAAGAAATATAATAGTCTTCAATATAAATATTCTTTATAATTTTTACTAAAGTATTTCGTGTTAATTGATTTGTTGATTGAGTTAATTGAACTAATGATGATGATTGTAATATAATACTATTTGATGTTGTTATGAGAAGATTAGTTATAAATGTTATTAAATAATCTCGAACATTTGCCAGAGAATTTAATTGTATATTATAATTAATCAAAGCTGATTCATTCAATGGTATTGAAACCTATTTTAAAAAAGAAAAAGAATCGAAAAAAAATCTATTAAATTCAATTACTTGTTGTAAACTTGAACTTCCTAATGATGATACTAAAATCGATGCAGCTGGTATTCCACCTAGAAAGATTATTTTGATTATCTATCATAAATTAAATGTCAATAATTACTTGAAATAGCTTTATCTAAATTGTCATTATTCATTTGATTGAATTCTTGTGATAATGCAGTCATTATTTGTCCAACAATATTTTGATTTCCACTTGAAAGTAATCGAACAATAGGATTATTTGTTATTGTACTCGATAAATTTGTTATTTTATCAATTAAATCATTGATTGTTGCGGTATCTGCAATAATAATGACAGAAAATATATTCACTTGTGTAACAGAACCCGCAAGATCTCGAACGTAAACAACAAGATTAAGTAATGAAGTTTCATTATCACCAGCTGGTAATCGAACTTGAAAATTATCTTCTGGTGAAAATGCAATTATTGTTCGTTGTGATATGTCTGTTGTCCATGCTAAAATGACAGAAAGTACAAAAGTCAGTCTTTAATGAAAACTAAACATACCATATAACGAATAATCTTGTATTCCATCAACATCATACCAATCTGGACACTCAATAGTGAACAAAGTAGTTATAGTACCACTAAGAGGATTAATTGAACAGGAACCATTTGCAGGCGGTTGATTAATAATAAAATTCAATGCACTTGTACTTATTGCAGATAGAAATGTATAAACAACTTCAAAACGCCAAAGACTTATTTGAAGATTATTAAGAAATAATAGATCTGTTGCTGTGAAATTACTTGTATTTGTACCTAAAATAATCAATAAATATATCTGATAATTAAAAAAACAAGATTTTTACCAAAAAACCAAATATTTTCATATGAACTTGCTTGATTAAATAAAGTCCATTGAGTAGAATTTGAAGATGTTGAATTGTCTGATCCTTGATAAATATTCCATTTAATACTTTGAAGATTCGAACAAGTTCCAATACACACAGTAAATAAAGCAACTTGTGTTGTTGGATTAAGAAGTTGAAATTCAAGATTTGGAACACACATTGGTGATATTACACAACTAAAATAAATAGTTTTCATTAGAATGATTCAATTAAAAACTCATAAATAATTTACCCAACAGCAATCAGTTGTGGATGAGTAAGTTCAATTGTAACAAGTACATAACCTGTTGCTTGAATAGAAGAATTCTTACGATTTTCCATATAGACCATAAATTGATACATTCGATTAGATTGAAGTGAACCACCGAGAACTATGAGAGATGAATTAGGTGATAAAGTTAAATTTCCGAATATCAATCCTGTTCCATTTCCTTTATAAAAAGTAATAAAAAAGAAGTGTTTTAATAAAGATCAGAACTTCAATAAAATTAGATTGTCATTAACAATTTTACCTGATCGATTTGACAAACATGATGGATTATAAGGATCAATTGTTGAATCACCAATTGATAATAATATTCCTTGTATATTTGGAAAATTATATAAATCATAAATTCGACAATAATATGTATATTTCCATTTCTATGATTACGAATAAAATAACACTTATTTAAATATTCACTTACAGATATATTACTTACAGTTGCATCAAATGTATCTTCATCAGGATCAACCGAAAATGTTCCAGGATCAAGTAGAAGATCTTGTTGATCACCTCGTGTTATCATAGACGTTCCTAATTGAACAAGATTTGCTGTTATACCTGTTGCAGTTATTCTCACATAAACTGAAGATGATGATTTTAAATTTGGTGAACCAATCATTGTTACAGTTAATGTTATTTGATAAACACCATAAGCAAGAGTTCTTGATGGAATATAAAGTTCACTAAATGTTGTCATAACCTTTTCATTTAATACAATTTCAAATGAACATCTAGTTGAAGTACAATTCTTTATTGTCCATTTTGTAGTTGTTGAAAGTGAACCATCACAATTAAATTGAATCATTGAACTAATAGAAAAATCTTGACTACGTCTATACGACATCGGAGATGATAGAGATGATTGACCAGGAATCAATGTAATCGTCGGTGAATAACAAGCTAATTTAGAAAAGAAAAATCGATAAACTATATTTTTTATATTATTCATACTATTACTTTCATTGATATCTAATCCTTGAGAAGTTGTGATGGAAGCCGTGCTAGTTGAGGTACTACTAGTGGTGGTAGTAGTACTAATTGTGGTACTGCTACTACTCGTTGTACTGCTACTTGTGGTGCTGCTAGTGGTGGTCGTAGTAGTGGTGCTACTTGAAGTACTGCTGCAACTTGTAGTGGTGCTAGTTGAGGTACTACTGGTGGTAGTAGTGCCGGTTGAGGTACTGCTAGTGGTAGTGGTAGTAGCAGTGGTAGTAGTACTACTTGAAGTACTGCTACTTGTAGTGCTGCTACTGCTCGTAGTGGTACTGCTAGTGGTGGTCGTAGTAGTGGTGCTACTTGAAGTACTAGTACTGGTAGTGGTAGTACTACTTGTGGTACTGCTGCTACTCGTTGTAGCACTTGTGGTGGTGGTTGTAGTGCTACTTGAGGTACTGCTGGTAGTAGTAGTACTACTACTAGTGGTGCTGCTACTGCTCGTAGTGGTACTACTGGTGGTGGTAGTGGTAGTAGTAGTGCTACTTGTGGTACTGCTACTGCTTGTGGTAGTGGTACTTGTGGTGCTACTGCTGCTCGTAGTAGTGCTACTTGAAGTACTGCTGCTGCTCGTGGTAGTGGTGGTAGTAGTGCTGCTGCTCGTGGTAGTACTGCTTGTGGTGCTGCTGCTACTTGTTGTAGTACTAGTGGTGGTAGTGGTAGTAGTAGTAGTACTTGAAGTACTGCTGCTGCTTGAAGTGGTGCTACTTGAGGTACTAGTGCTGCTCGTAGTAGTACTACTTGTGGTACTGCTACTGCTTGTGGAAGTGGTACTTGTGGTACTACTGCTGCTCGTAGTAGTACTACTTGTAGTACTGCTGCTACTTGTTGTAGTACTTGTGGTGGTAGTGGTAGTAGTAGTAGTGCTAGTGCTGGTCGTGGTAGTAGTGCTGCTTGTGGTACTACTGCTAGTGGTAGTAGTACTACTTGTAGTACTGCTGCTACTCGTTGTAGTACTAGTGGTGGTAGTAGTAGTAGTAGTGGTACTGGTGGTACTACTGCTTGTGGTACTAGTGGTAGTAGTAGTAGTACTACTTGTAGTACTTGTGGTAGTAGTAGTAGTGCTGCTGGTGGTACTGCTACTACTAGTAGTAGTACTGCTAGTGGTAGTGCTACTTGTGGTACTAGTGCTGGTGGTAGTGGTACTTGTAGTACTGCTACTACTTGTAGTCTTGGTGGTGGTAGTAGTAGTAGTGCTAGTTGTGGTACTGCTGCTGCTGCTCGTAGTAGTAGTGGTGGTGGTGGTCGGTATTGCTAAAATATAAAACAATAATGCTTTATTAAGTTAAATTAAAAGGAAGTTATATTAAAAACATTAACATGTGATCAAATAATTCAAGCAACATTTCATTTGAGTTTTGTCAATTTTTTCAAATGATAGTCGCGGAAAAGTAACTATCAATTACAACTTTATGATGTACTATTATATTCAAATAACTTACGGCAGCTGTTATTTTGAAGAGCGAATTGTTGCACTCGACTATTATTTCGATCAGTAACATATATATTTCCATAGCTATCAAAAGCCATACTTTGTGGAAAAGATAATTGAGACGAAGATGAACCACCTCCTAAACATCCCACTATACATCGAAAACCATAATAACTTGAAGCAACAATACGATGATTATAACTATCAACAATAAATAAATAACCATTAGCATCAAGGACAATTCCAGTTGGGTAGTTGAGTATAATATTTGCTGATGAACCATTACCAACGAGTGTCACTCCATCTAACTGACCATTTTGAACATATTGAATACGATTATTAACACTGTCTGCAATATAAAGGTTCAGATTACTATCAACATAGATTCCTTGAGGAGAATTAAGCATATTTGATAGTGATCCGGCAGAGCCATTACCCGCTGCGATTGTCGGAATGATTGTACCATTATTAAGTAAGAGTTTAACAATTTGATGAAGATTTTTAAGTGAACAATAAAGATTATTATTAATATCAATAAATAAACCATAACAACTTCCATTAACATTCATAACAGTAACACGATTTGATGAATTAAATGTATATTTATCGACTCGACCATATGAATAACCATTATCAATATAAATATCACCAGTCATAGACATAAAAAGACTATATGAATTATTCAAATTAGTATAACTATTACTTGTTGGTGTAGTACTCCATTGCGGCCATAATAAAATAGTGTTACTAATTCGATTAGGTACATACACAGTATTAATTCCATTAATAAAAATACCATAAGGTAATAAACCAACAATAGAACTTGAGACTAAAGTTACGGCATTCGCAGACCATGATGCACTTGAGCAAAATGTTGGTTGATTATAAGAAAGACCTAAAATAAATAAATTAATATCATCAAAAACATAAAGTAAAAATAACTTACTACATGAATTTGATGCTAATATAAACTTTTGTATGCGATAATTATTTCTATCAGCAACAAATATATTTCCATAACTATCAAATCTTAAAGTTGGTGGTTGATTCAATTGACTTGGTGTAGTACCTGATAGTGCCGTACATCCAAATAAACATCGAAAACCATATGGTCCTGATCCAACTATTCGATTATTAGAAGAATCCGCAATAAAAAGATATCCGTTATCATCTAATATAATGCCATTTGGATAATAAAGTGTAATAGTTCCTGGTGCACTTGCTCCTGCTACAGTTATTCCAGTTAATTGCCCAAAAGGAAACATTTGTATTCTATGGTTATAACAATCTCCAACATATAAATTAAATTTAGCATCGACAAAAACTCCAATAGGGTAATAAAGCATAGTTGCTGTTGATCCAGCTGTACCTGTACCAGCAACAATAGTTGATGTAAGTACATTATCATTTAACCATTTCTTAACAACTTGATGAGCATTAAATGCTGAGCAATAAAGATTATTATTAATATCAACAAAAATACCTAAACATTGACAAGGAACTGACATTGCAGAATTAGTTATATTTGAGTTTAATGAAAATTTATCAACTCGACCATTATTCGCACCATTATCAACATATATATCACCAACAGGAGTAGCAAAAAGATCAAATGGTGAACTCAGACTACCAGAAAGAATTTTATCAGGATTAATACTTCCTTCGTACCATATGAAAACCTTGTTAGTTTGTGTATTAGCTACATAAACAGTATTATCAATACCAACAAAAACACCAAATACATTTGCTCCAGCCGTACTACTATTAGCAAATGTAATTGCATCTGTATACCATGTTGTAGATGGACATAAGTTTGGTCGATTAAGAGTCACATCTAAGAAAAAGTGAAAATTGACTAGATATCTCATTCACTTCTGTTAGAAAATATTGTCAAATCATTCTCATTTAAAAGAATCATTTCAATTTCAATGAAGAAGAAGAAGAAGAATATCCTGCTGTTTTCAGCTATCTTGTGATATTAAGTACTATCTGAAGATAATTCTTCCGATGAATCACTGAAGTAAAGCAGCTCAACTTTCAATGACTTACAACACCAAATCTAGATCTCGAGTTATGAACTTCGCTTAAATCCTATAGTTCAAATTTAATGAAATCCACTTATCTATATTCACGAAACAACTAATAAAAATGCGGCTGGTAATTGTTTAGAGCATTAAATAACAGTTTTCTTTTGCGTTATATTCGCAAACAGATTGTTCACTCAGAAGAAATGTGCAGTGAGAGAGATTTCAATCAATAAATATATACAGGGATGTCAGCTCACTTTACTCAAATATGCACAAGATAACCAGTCGCGAGTAACTTCAAGAGATAGTCTGACTTTGAAACTCGGCATTTTCGACATTTTTAAAGCTTTATTCATCGAATTACTGTTCATATCATCGATACTATAGCTATCTGAGCAGCATAGTATGGCATCTTTGCTGAAATGAAAATTTTGAAAATGCCATGAAAAGATAAGATATTAGAATATTTTTCCTCATTTGTTCGATAACGAGAAAAGAAGATTCTATTGTACTTACTATAAATAGTACTTGTTATAAGAAACTTTTGTATTCGATAATTGTTTTGATCAACAACATACATATTTCCATAACTATCAAAACTTAGAGCTGTCGGATAGTATAATTGATTAGATGCTGCACCATAAGCGCCTGAACATCCAACTAAACAGCGAAATCCATTCGGTCCTGACCCAACGATACGGTGATTATTATAGTCCACAATGTAGAGATAATCATTAGCATCAAGAACAATTCCAGAAGGACAATTTAGAATAATAGTTCCTGTTGCAATCGTTTTTCCAACTACTTGTGTTGATAAAAATAATTGAATTCGATTATTTCCACAATCAGCAACATATAAATTCAGATCTGTGTCAACGTGAATTCCACGAGGACCATTAAGTGTATTCGTACTTGGTGCTGAACAGTCTGCGCCAGCAGCAACTATCCACATAGCTGAGTTATTATTCAATGATTTCGTGACAACTTGATTAAGTGCACTCATTGAACAATAAAGATTATTATTAATATCGATAAAAAGACCCCAACACGAGTTCTTCACATACATTGCTGAAATACTAGTAGTTGAATTTAATGTCCATTTATCAACTCGAGTATTTGAACCACCATTATCGACATAGATATCACCATTAATAGCAACGAATATAGAATATGGACTAGATAAACCACTGGTGAGATTCCTTATAGGTACGCTGCTACTGTCATGCCATACCTGAACACGATTTGTACTTCGCTCAGATACATATATAGTATTGTTAGTATCAATAAATATACCATAGGGAGATGTTCCAAGTGTGGTTGTATTTGCAAATGTTATTCCGTTGGCACTCCAAGTAGTATAGGCAGTGAATTCTGGTAAATTGTACGAAAGAACTAAAAAACATTTATCCAAAGTTCTTATAAAAATGATCAAACTATATCAAAGGCGACGCAGCCACTTGGTCTTAATAAGCCCGTATTCGGCGACGATATATGAATCATCTACCCTATACTTAGATATTATGGATTTGCATACGCTTAACGATTAGTTTAGTGTATCAGAAACTCTATACAATCGTTCAAATCTTTTATCGTCTTCAGTTAGCAACGCTCGAGAACTGAGAAATAGGAATTTTTAAACTGTCAGAAACTGCTAGACAAAGCTACTTTGCTTTTATAAATTAAACATATACAATTTGAAAATAGGAAGGGTGAGTGTTGGTGGTAAGATCAAAAAAAGTCATAAAAGAATATAATCCCTTTCAAGACCTCTCCGCTGATAGCTCGTATATGCCCTTTATATTCATCTTAAAATTTTCTAGTTAGGGATGAACTACCTCTAGCCTAAGATGGTGCTAAGTTTGGAAAGACCAGACGGAACCGGATGGAAAGATCTAAATTCATCCTAACTGCTTGCAAATGCGATTTTATAATCGAACAATGAAATTTGACATGGCTCAACTTTATAAGAGTAGAAAAGTAAATCAGATAGACCCATAGTAATCAGTCAAAATCCACATTGGGATCAACCGATTACCTGTATTGCATCTACTTCTGTAGAAGAATTGCAGAGAGATGCTTATTTCTCAGTCTTTAGACAGTTCTCTTGCAAAAAGATAACCGCAGTCTACAATAAGTCAGTTTCCACTATTCTGTCGAAAGATCTTGCTTAACAATCGATTCGAAAAAAAAATACATACGTGTTGACGATGATACCGTTGTTGAGTTTGTAATAAGAGGAACCGATTGAGTAGTATTGGTTGAAGTTACTATAAAAAAAAAACATGAACTATTGATAAAATATAATCGATGAGAAAATACCAGTAGACATAGTTGTAACTGTCGTCGTTCCATCTATAAGAAAAAAAGAATAATTTTATTCAATAATAGACACAGGACAACTTTTTCTTTCATGTCAAGCGGCAGAACAAGCATAACATCTACTTTAGTTTATAATTAAGTGAAACATATCACGCTTGTTGGACATCTTACAATCACTGTATTTATTAGTTTTCTCTAATACTGTTACCCAATTCCAATACTGAATAGGATGAAGATTCTTGTATGTGACATGCTCAGAAAGGTGTCATATTAAAGGGATTTCGATTTTAAATACCGAAGTTTGAAAAAGTGATTTCTCTAAAGTGTATGATCTATTTACTGAAAGGTAATCTTGTTCTACGATTTTTCAATTTGTGATACAATTAATTTTTACTTACTACATGAATTTGTAATCAGAAGAAATTTTTGAATTCTATTATTGTTGAAATCAGTTACAAATATGTTTCCATAACTATCAAAACTAAGCTGTATTGGGTTATATAACTGATTCGATTGCGATCCTTGTCCAGAACATGCAGCAATACATCGAAATCCGTAAGGTCCCGAGCCAATAAGACGATGATTATTAGAATCAACAATAAAGAGATATCCATCAGCATCGAGAACAACTGCAGTTGGTAAATTCAATATGATGGTTCCTGTTGGTATTGTTGTTCCATTTAATTGTCCTGATAAAAATTTTTGAATCCGATTATTGCCACCATCAGCCACATATATGTTTAGATTATTATCGACAAAGCTCGAGCGAGGATTATTAAGTGTAAGCGATGTTGCTCCAGCAGTGCCTGTTCCGGCGACAATGGCCCATATATTTAAACTTGTATCCAATGATTGCGAGACAATTTTATGAGAAGGATACATTGTACAGTAGAGCATATTATTGATATCGACGAAAATACCAGTGCATTGTGAGCAAACATACATCGCTGGAACACTACTGTTTGAATTTGATCCCCATTTGTCTACTCGCATATTTGAATAGGCATTGTCGACATAAATATCACCATTGTCTGTGGCGAAAAGGCTAAAAGGTTTGACTAAACCACTGGATATAGTTCTTGTGGGTGTCGTATTGCCGTTCAGCCATACTTGGATCCGACTATCCACCTGATCAGCGACATAGACGGTATTAATTGAATTGACAAAAATACCAACAGGAGATGCACCAACTGTCGCGCTAGTCGCAAACGTTATCGCTGTAGAATTCCATGATGCATTTGTACAGAGTTTAGGTTGATTGTAGGAAATACCTAGATAAAATAATAAGAATGCTTTTAAACCTAACGATAGACATTCTACATTCAATCAGTTTATTTATAATGCTCTCATAGATATTTATTTCGAAAGAAAAATTGTTGCATGAAATTAAATAGCTTATTTTTACATTAAATACATTAACAATTTTAACAAAATGCATACCTGATGTTTGCCCAATAAATAACGATAATAACCAAATATTGAAGAAGTTAAATAGTTTCATATTATTTACCTGAAATAAAACTTATTTTGATATCAATGAATGTTAATATGTAACAAAAAAAATTATTAAATATAATATTTTTACAATCTTCAAAAGATTTCTATTGTTTAGATAAAATCTTGCACAATACAAATGATTTTAAAATAACATGATTTAAATAATAATATTTTTTTTCTTCAATAGTCAAACACTACTAAATAAAACACAAATATATGAATTTAATTTTCTATTATAAATATTTCTGTTTCTATAATGTACTAAAAAAAAAGAATTTTGAAATTTTTCAAAGATTATTAATTTTATAGTCTGACATAAGAGATAAATCATTCTAAAATATTATTGTGATGAATAGTAATTTTTTGAAAAACTAATTAATAAATAAATCATTTTTACATTATATTTCTAAACCATCTGCATATTATTACTTATATGATAAAATGATAAATACACAGGAAATAAAAAATATGATGAAACGAATATTATTTTTGATTTTCAATGATTGAAATAATAATTTGCATCAAAATCATTCCGTAGTTTTAATTTTGAACCAATTATATTTAATGATTTTCAAAGAAATTTGTATCTTAATTAATGAAAATGAAATACATCAAAAATAGTGTCCGTTACATCATTTTTTTATAACACTACTGGTATTTTTATCTAATCTGTGAAGATTAATAATTATTTTAACTAAATAAAAAATAATGTACGAACCACATAAATTCCTTTAAATAAATATTTAAAAAAAAAGAAGTGAAGATCTATATTTATATATCATCCTGAAGTGATGATGATCGAGGCAACGCAGTATTTGATGATCTTACTCTTAGTTAATGTGACTAAAATAAATAATCGTTTTATCGTAGTTATGAAAAGCTTACCTCTTCCAAGATTCTTTTGAACAAGATGAAAGAAAAATGTAATATACTAATATTCTCGAGAATGTCTAATAAATATGTTTGCTCTGTAGCATACTATCACGTTGGTGACGATTCTTTTTTCTTCTCTTATATTATGCTTGGTTTATCACTTGTAAAAATAAAAAAAAAGACAATGGAAGATAGCAATACAACACCTAAGAAATATGTATTTTAAATCAAAGAATATCCCTCAACAACGAATTGATAATCTATTATATTAGATCGAAATTCAGATTAAAAATATATAATGATAGAAAAATTTAAATGAATTATCAATTGCTACATTTTTCTGTGTAAAGTTATCTGAGAAATAATGAATAGAAAAATCATTCGTAGACAGTACCTGATCATAGTGTCGAAGTATCAACAAAAATAAACAAATATTACTCATAGATATAATTAAATAGTTTCAGCATATATTTTTTTTCTTAAAAAGTTTATTTTAGATTTTCATTTGTAAAAACTCTTAGTAAGTAATAGAAAAAGTTGATTATTCAAACAGAACATTGTCGTCATCAACAAAAAGAAAAAAAAACTCTATGTGTTATTATAGAAACAATACACAACTAAATGTATTTTGGCCTCCAACTACGATTTTTTTTTGTAAATATAGGATCTTTTAACAGACTGATTTTACTTGAAATTTCAATTATGTTGACTCTATCGCTTGAAATTCTTTTATTAATAGAGTTAACACAAGCAGCTAGACGTTAATCAACATACTTAACTTATTTCTTCGCGCAAGAATATATTAGGTGGTATCATTACCTATCTTCATTTCTTTCTGATAATATATATATGTATATCTACTTTCGTTTTGTTGTCACATATACATATATCATATATAGTGTGATTCATCATCTTCTTCTATGTGTGTTCTCATTCTCTTCCAAGTCGTTCATGGATTTTTTCTTTCCTGTCGTTCACATATATGTTGCTGTATGTTATGAAATTTTTCCTCATCTTATTCTTTTGATCTCCTGTTGAACATATTCCTAACAGAGTGATCTACCATTCTATATATAGCGTGTGTTTTTCTTCGAATAAGCAGAGATATAGGATTCTCATCTTCACAAATATGTAGTTAATTTAGATATAATTACTAAGCTCAACTATAACATTTTTATTCACATACATAAATAGTATATTTTTAAAATTATATTAAACAAATGAAAGTAATGTGTAATTAAATCTTTTAGAAAGAGTGGAAAATAAATTAAGTAATAATTTTTAGACATCTTCATTCGTACAGATATATTTGCTTGTCAAATATATCTCTTTTTCTTTCCTTTTTAGAATTACATTTTATTGATCATTCAGTGTAATATATCCTTTAGAAGATTTTGATTCAAAAACAAATATACTAAACTAACAGCATGTAGTCGTATTTTTCGTTTTATTTAGAGACAAAAGAAAAGATAACAATTTGCTCGTTGATATATGACGTATTGTCTTTATTTTAGAAAAAAGAAAAAAAAGAGGAATTATAAAATACGAAAATACATTATCATTCTGTAATATTAACAACACCAAAATCAAGCATTCTGAACAGTGAATAAAAAGTCGTTATTGTATCCATTTCGTAAGATAGTTCTATCATTTCTTTATTACTGTATACCAGTCGTAGTTTGAAGCTGTTGATAGATCGTATTATGAGGTTGCACTCGAATAGATCTTGGTCGTGATAGTAGAACTTGCATTTTGATAGTTAAATATTTCCTTATTTTATCTGTAAAAATCAAGTTCAGTAACATCCATATACCAAAGCCGAATGAAAGCAAAACATAAGTGACTCGTTGTGCATAGGGTAACGATTCTGCATTAGGAGAAAAATTAGCTCGGAGGAAGAAAATCAAATATGGAAAACTCATCAGTAATACAACACAAACGATGATAAAAAGGCGACCAATAAAACGAAGATCACGACGTTGTCGACGTTGGTCAACTACATTACGAGAAATGTTTGTTGAAAAAGAACGTTGTTTTGCGAAATGTACAATTCGAATATAAGTTGGGATAATGATGGCAAGTGGAAGGAAATAGATAAACATTGCTAGATACAGAAAGATGACTATATCATTCATTGATGCCTAAATCAAAGATAAATATACATTGGAAGAGATCATCAATTAACACAGAAAATACATTCATATTTCTATTGAAATTTTCTGTAATGAATACGTATAGAAACCTACCTGACAAATACGGCTACCGGGCTGATATACAATCCGACCAAGTACTAGTGCTGGAATGCCAAATGTAACCAAAAGTAACCACTGAACAATCGTCATAGACACTGTGACTTGTTTCGATTGAAAATAACGTCGTGTTGCAAACACAACGACAAAGAGACGATGCAGTGCTTGATTACAAATTGTATGATACAAAAGACCACATCTAGCATGAAGTAGAAAACCTCGAAATGAACATAGTCTATCATTTCCATCACTTTTCAATTGATAAATTGCTTGACAACCACAAGTTATATTAATAATCAGACCAGCGACTGCTGAATTGAAAGCAAGCATAATATTTGATGTATGAAATTCACGATGATAAATCACAATAGCAATAAAGACAATGGCACAAGTGACACCACAAATACTACATAAAATCATCCATAGAGATGATGAAATCTCAAGAATATTCATGTTGAGAAAGAAGAGAATGATATTAATTGAATAACTGAGAAACTTTTGACTTCTATATTTTAAATGAATGTTAGAATACAATGAAGTATTTTATGGCATCTATGTACAAGGATAAATGTCCATATGTCAATATACCATTATCTAGTCTAGTAAAGATCATAGAAATATTCTCATGATTACCTTCCGTCGGAAAAGACTATATTATTTGACAAAATGTCATTCCAACAGTAATCTTATGTATGTTCTCTCATGATGACTTGCACGGGTGAACATTTCATAATGAGTACATGAAAAGACATTTTAGATAATTATTATATGCTCTTTTGATATGAATGTCTTTTGTCTAACCTAAGCAGCTAATTTCATTTTTCGATAAATTACTCTCAATTTCTACCGCTTATTCAATCATAATATTCAACAAAATAATTTCATAGTTTGTTTTCTATAATAAATGAACTTGTAATTCAATTTCAGCTACCATCACAACAAATTTAAACAAAAACATTTTTGTATTTATAGCAGTTGTATTATATCATTTGTTTACTTCAATACATCTGATCTTTCACTGATTCAATGATAACACAAAGACTTATTTTAAATTTCTTACCCACAACCTCAATTACTCGAACTTAATACATCATAAAATTGTTTTAATAAAAGTACAAATTCCTACTATATGTGATTGAATATGCCAATCTTTCCAGTAAATACAATCTTCTCATTTATCACAGTCATTTTTCAACATACTGTTATAGATATTCTCGACCTTTTTACGAACAGACAACACTACAACAAATTACAACAAGACAAATGATACACGAATAACAAGTATATTTAAGTACGAGTACCACTTCGTTGAGCACTTGGATATACTTGATTCATATTTTTACATCCAACCAGCTCCTTCAGAGAAACAACCAACTGATTTCGAAATCTTTTTGATAAACAATAGCAATAAAAAGAACTCTAAAAAAAAGAGAAGAATAAATGTCAGTTAAGAAAGTAACAAGCATACAATTTACCGCATATATTGCAAAACCATAAGTAGCAGCGAATGAAATTACTAACTGTTCCACTGTTTGTCTATAGGTATTTTTAACTACATTTGCTGTAACGACTGTGTAAATTTGCCAAGTTGCATATGGACTATTGAACACTAACACAGCAAATATTTGAGATAATGCCATACTAATTGTTTGTTTTGTAAGAGAAGAAAGTGATCTTGTTACACTAATAGTTTTCATATGTCGAACAGTGAGGAATCCAAAAATAGAAACCACAGTAATTGGAATAATAGTGACAATGCCAAGAGAGACAACATAGCTACGATACTGGGCATAAATTGTATTTGTTGCGATACACATTGGGGTACCTCTTACAATAACAAGATCTTGAAAGAAGTAGTAAGGTAGTTCATGAATAAACCAAATGCAAAGAGTACCAATTATTAGATATCGTGCTATTCGAATATTGCTCTTCTGTCGTACAGCAACTGATGGAGAGGAACACATGAAAATATCAATAGCTTGTAAGCAAATAAAAGTACATGTACTCTGAGCATTAATATCGACAAAGCCGATGCGCGTTTTACACCAAATTCGATTTGTTAAAGTAAAATTCATTTGAAAGCCTGTACTAAGAATTCTAGTGGTTAGACCAACAAGGAGAATGTTGAGATCAAGAAAAGTACGAACAAACATGTAAAGAGAGCATCCATTGTTCTTGTAATTTCCAACTTTAATGAAGACGATAATATTGAGAAGATTTCCGAGTATGCCACCAATCAATAGAATAAAACCTAAAACAAGGGTTGCATATTGAAAACCAGTTTGAAGTTGAAGAATTGTTAATGTCATGCTAGTGTTGTTGTTCGATGACATTGTCGCGTTCTTCGGAAATACTTTTATTTAATGAATGAAGATGTTACATTCAGAACGTTTTCTTTCTTATTATAGTCATCAGATAAGAAATATCATGTCGTTGGAAGAGAATTAGCTTTTTCTTTTCACTAGAAGTCCACTGAATTAATTTTATAAAAAAAGAGAATGGATTACACTCGTTTTTCTCCTAAAGATTACAGAGAATAGACGCACATCTTTTGAATAATCAGACTAGAAGTGACTGCGTAGAGTAAGAAAGTCTATCCGACTTTGCTCAGAAGTATTGTATCAAACATCTGAACGAGATGTAGTTTTGACAGGTATCATGAAGTGATCCTCTTTCATTTTGTAATTAAACCAGTGTAATTTTTCCTCTTCTGAAACTGACACATATCATTTTTGTTTTTCAAACTCGAAACGATGACATCCATCAGTAACAGTAATTAATAAAGAATGACGTATTTTGTATGTTTGGTAAAATTAATATTAAAATGCTTCTTAATCCAGTATAAGAACATTTTTGTATATATACTTTGATCTTTTGTTGGAGTCAAACTTAAAAAGGGAATAGCATAATAGCTAGCGATCTCCGATTTTCAGTAAGCGAAAGCGGCGGACTTGTGACATGTTTTGATATAATATTTTGTTTGATCAAATTATTGTTGAATCAGATATTTCCGAGAATGTTTTCAAAAAAGGTGCAGTATACTTATCAACATAGCCCTAATGAATCGTTGGTTATGTCATACGCGCTGGATAGAAGAATCTCAAAGCTACATTCGTAGATATAACTCAGATAATTATATTTCCTTCTTCTAATATTAATCGATCACAGACAAGTCTCTATTGAATGTAAAAATGAATAATTATATTGTTTGACAATTCATTTTAATTATTTGCTTAAGTAGAATGTTTTGACAAGTCTTGTAATCCACTAAGCAGTGTTTATCCAATCATATTATTCAATAAAATACTTTCATAGTTTGTTTACTATAATAAATAAACTGCTAATTTAATTTCAATTATCATTACAACAAATTTAACCGAATACATTTTTATATTTATAGCAATTGTGTTATATAATTGTTTTACATCAATACATATGATTCAATTGTAAAACTAAGACTTATTTTAAATTTCTTACCCACACCCTCAATTACCCGAACTCAACACATCATACAATTGTTATAATAACAGCACACATTTCCATAATATGTGATTGAATATATCAATCTCTTTAGCAAATACGATGTTTTCGTTTATAACAGTTATTTTTCAACATAATTTTTGTAGATATTTTAGACGTTTTTACGAACAGACAACACAAGAACAAATTACAACAAGACAAATGATACACGAACGACAAATATATTTAAGTACGAGTGCCAGTTCTTTGAGTACTTGGAAGTACTTGATTCATATGTTTACATCCAACCAGCTCCTTCAGAGAGACAACCAACTGATTTTGAAATCTTTTTGATAAACAATAGCAATAAAAAGAACTCTAAAAAAAAGAGAAGAATAAGTATTAGTTTAGAAAGTAAGAAATAGACAATTTACCGCATATGGTCCAAAAACATAAGTACCAGCAAATGAACTAATTAACTGTTCCACTGTTTGTCTATAAGTATCTTTAACTACATTTGCTGTGATGACTGTGTATATTTGCCAAATTGCATATGGACTATTAAACACTAATACAGCAAATATTTGAAATAATGCCATACTAATGGTTTGTTTTGTAAGAGAAGAAAGTGATCTTGTTACACTAATAGTTTTCATATGTCGAACAGTGAGAAATCCAAACATAGAAATCACAGTGATTGGAATAATAGTGGCAATGCCAAGAACGGTAACATAGCTACGATACTGAGCAAAAATTGTATTTGTTGTGATGCACATGGGGGTACCTCCTACAATAACAAGATCTTGAAAGAAGTAGTAGGGTAGTTCATGAATAAACCAAATGCAAAGAGTACCAATTATTAAATATCGTGCTATTCGAATATTGCTCTTCTGTCGTACAACAGCTGATGGAGAAGAACACATGAAAGCATCAATAGCTTGTAGGCAAATTAAAGTATAGGTGCTTACAGCATTAATATCGACAAAAGCTGTGCGCGTTTTACACCAAATTCTATTCATCGAAGTCAGATTTATCTGAAAACCTGCACTAAGAATTCTACCGGTCAGACCGGCAAGAAGAAGATTGAGATCAAGAAAAGTGCGAACAAACATGTAAAGTGAACATGCATTGTTCTTATAATTTCCAACTTTAATGAAGACGATAATATTGAGAAGATTTCCGAGTACGCCACCAATCAATAGAATAAAGCCTCCGATAAGGTTTAAATATAGAAAACCAGTTTGAAGTTGAAGAATTGCTAATTTAAGGCTTGTGTTATTGTTGGATGACATCGTCGCGTTCTTTGAAAGTAGTTTTATGTAATGAGTGAAGATATTAGTGTCAAACGATTTTGGTTCTATTATAGCTACTAGATAAGAGAGTTTATGACGTAGAAAGAAAACTAGTGTTTTCTTTTTTCTAGAATTACACTGAATTAATTTTATAAAAAAAAAGAGAATGGATTACACTCGTTTTTCTACTAAAGATTACTGAGAATAGAAGCACATCTTTTAAATAATCAGGCTATAAATGACTACGTAGAATAACAAAAATCTATCCGAGTTTGCTCACAAGAAGTATTACATTTCATAAGGTATGGTTTTGGCAGGTATCATGAAGTGATCCACTTTCATTTTGTAATTAAACCAGTGTAGTTCTTCCTCTTGTGAAACTGACATATATCATTTTTGTTTTCCCAACTCGAAGCGATGACACCCATCAGTAACAGTAATTAATAATGAATGACGTATTTTATGTACCTGATAAAATTAATAATAAAATGCTTCTGAATCCAGTATAAGAACATTTTTGTATATATACTTTGATCTTTTATCGGAGTCAACTAAAAAAGGAATAGCATAATAGCTAGCGATCTCCGATTTTCACTAAACGAAAGCGGCGGACTTGTGACATGTTTTGATATAATACTTTGTTTGATCAAATTATTGTTTAATCAAATATTTCCGAGAATGTTTTCAAAAAAGGTGTAATATTAGTATTAACATCGTCCCAATGAATCGTTCGTTATATCATATGTTAATCGATTATTTTTTTTCTCTAAGTATTATATTTCATTTAAAGAAAAGAGTACCTAGATTCAAATACTTTTTGAAATAGGTGAAAAGACGTTTTCATGTAAGATGGAACCATTTTATCAGACGAGGTCAATGGTGGATGTGATCATTCATTATGCATCTACACTCACAATTTCAAATATATTCTTTGCGTTCTCATCAGATACATAGAAAATGTTCTTCTTATTTCAATGATCATAAAGAAAATAGTGCGTGAAATGTTTTCTCATTTTCATCTTCTTTCATCTTCGGCCATTTGAATCCTGCGAAATTTAATCCAATAATAATTGCATCAGTTGAAGATTCAAAATTAACTAAGAAATCATTTTCTATTACGAAAAAATCCGTATCAGATTCAGGATAGAGAAGAAAATCTTGTCCATTCCATAATTGTTTAACAAGTAGATGATTATTCTGTGCAGTAATCAGTATAGTAGCATTTTCCTCGGCCAATAAATATGTTCCAGCGAAAGTGGCTAGTTTTGATGGAGTCAATATCACGATAGTTTTCATGATTGGCTTATGGAAGTCCCAGTCGTATGCAATGGCGATACTTCTAACGATTTCAGTAATTAAATTCGAACCATCACCTGAATTGGTCATGATCACCGCTCCTTTACCTGAATAAGCAGTACCAAATAAGAAGGATCGAAATCCTTCATTACATCCACCATGACCGAAAGCTAAGGAGTCGTTATCACCATAAATAGTAGGACCTAGACCCGAATCTTCTAAATGTTTCGTCAGCATCTTCTCAGTCATCTGTTTTGAAAGAATTTGATTCGATTGATTCTGTAAAGATTTTTGTATTTCAATAACGTAAAGCGCCAAATCAGATGGTGTAGTCCATAATCCAGCTGCTGCACTTTCTGGATATATATGCCAATTACCAGGTAATTTTTCACCATGTAATCGATGACCGATACTCGCTCGTTACTGCCACGACAGGGGTAGTATCTGTTGAAAAGTACTATGTTTCATATTAATTGGAGAAAGTACAGAACGTTGCATCAACGAAGAAAAATCCCATCCTGTTACATCTTCTAATAATTGCTGTAAAAGAACATATCCACCTCCTGAATATTGCCAATGACTGCCTGGAGTGTGATCAGAAATAATAGGTCTTGAATTAGCTGGATTTTCTCCATTGAGAATTTGTATAAGCGTCGGTAATGTTTCATTTGCAGCATAGCCAAGAAAGCCGTGAACAGTAAGACCAGCTGTATGTGTAAGAAGTCGGCGTAAAGTGACGGATTCTTTTTCAGTGAACGATGTATTTTTTACCTTCCACGATCGAAGATATGTATGAACATTTTCGTCTAGATCAAGTTTTTGCTGTTCCACCAATTTCAAAGCAACCATTGCTGATACTGGTCTACTGATAGAAGCTGCCTGAAACAATGTAAATGTATTCGCTCTTTTCATATATTCTGCATCAAGATAACCGTAGGCTTTCGTCCATTCGATTCTTCCTTCATTTATCAAAGCTATACTAACTGCAGAAACATGATAATGTTTCATTCGTTCATGAATTGTAAATATTGGAACAGATTTTCCTTCCACATTTATTGCGTAACGTAATCCATTTTCTACTCTTTTGATTTTTGAAGTTATTTCATCGTCAGCTGGTGTGTTTTGAGCAACACAAACATGCCATAATAATATAATTATTGTCACGATCGTTTTATGTCGCATGAAGAAGTATAAAGCTGTTTTCTCAATAACATGAACTTTAAACCAAAACTGACATTCTATTGTCTATTTTGGCTTTGTTTTATATTGAATAGATTAAAACTTACTAATCCTTATTTAACATTTACTTTGAAATGTTTTTGATCTACATATCTTTTAGCGTATAATATTCTCGAAAATAAAGCGTCACAATATATCGATTTTTTTAAAAGTACCTTTGAATTTGCTGTCGTAATATTAAGTATTGTAGTAATCATATGGTGTTAGTTTTTTGTCTTATAATGGAAGATACATAAATAAGCGTATGTGTACGAGCAGCACATTAATATGAGTTACTATAATGAATCAATGTAATATGTTCTCATGCATTCTTACTAGTCTGCTTATAACAATTGATTTTACTGCTACAACTCATATTTCGTACTTAATTGATTTTATAAAATGCATTTGTATTACCACTAAATAGAGTATCACTATGAAAGAAACCATGATCATCAAAAATCTTGCGACTGAAAGTATAGCGAATTACAAGATGTAATTTTTGTTTGTCAATGGAGAATATAAGCGTGTATGAAAGTAAAATACATCAGTGACTGTCTCTCAAATCCGCAATTGTGCCTTCATACATTATCCTCAATTTTTTCATTTAACGGCATTGTATTTGTTTAGATGTGACATCGGCTTATGTTTATTATTATAGCAATAAATTATTGAAGTAGTTTTACCACTGCTAGTATGAAAATATTTGTGAACCACTCGACATTTTCAAGAGGCAGCTATACCACAATATAACTTAAGACAGAATAGATCAAAGAAAGAAGACGAGACAATTGTTTTGCTTAATAATAAGCAGGAATCAAAAATGAAAGAAAAAAAAGAAAGAACAACTGATAGTATGATCGAAAGAGTCGTGTCATTATCAATTGTGTTATATAATTAAGAATCATATTGGTTATTTATTTGATATAACCAGGTACACCTGCACACCACCAACTTCCATTGGGGCATAGACAAGTTGATGTCCATTCACTTCGAACTATACATCGTAATGTTGGTTCACATTGAGTATTTCCTCGATAGTTCAATCCTCCACATTGATCACCCAGCTTCAGTAGAATCACAGGTGGTTGAGCTGCAATGAAAATAAAAATTCTCTTCAGTTAATGTTTTGATCAGTGATAAACTATTTAAAGAATATCGTATTTTACTATTTAAACAATAATTTATTGTAATGTTTGAAAATCATTCTACTTTTTTACTATAAAAGAACGAAGATTGCTTACTAGTATACACTGTCTTTGCTGTAGGCATTGCCGATGATGGAGTAACATAACCAGGTGCGCCTTCACACCACCAGCTTCCATCAGGACACAGACAAGTTGATGTCCATTCACTTCGAACTATACATCGTAATGTTCGTTCACATTGAGTATTTCCTCGATAATTCAATCCTCCACATTGATCACCTAGCTTTTGTAAATTACCCAAGAAAGTGCTTGTTGTTGACAATGCTGCAATCACAAAACAAATCATATAATTCAAATAAAAATCAATAAAAATAATTCTATTACGTTAAACTTCAAAACAACTACATAAATCGACGTACATATTTAGTATCGAACATGAAAATATTAAACTTAAAATATTTTATGAGATTTTTATCTATTATAATATATATCTATCGTAAAATTACACATACTTCGAGTTTTTCTTTCATATTACTATTTAACAGCTTAGACAATCATATATATATATATATATATATTGTTTCTATTTTTAAAAGGTATTATTAATAAATGTGATAAAAACCCGTTCAAAGTGTATTACGCGTCAGAAAGAAAGATTTTGCGTATTAATGTCATGTAGATATTTTTATCAACTTTATACATGAAAATAGTATATTATGTTCATTATCGACGTGTTATATTATAACTGAATATCGAATGTGTATTTATCACTTAATATCTTTAACATAATACAAAAATTAACTTGTGAAATTCTTACAATAAGTAGTTGCCTTAGTATGAAAATGGATATTAAGAGATTTTTCTAAAATATCGTATTACATTATCATTTTTTTATTTTACGTATTGTATATCGAAAATTAAAAGTAACTAAACTCTTGTCTGTTGACAACATTCAAGGATTCACATATTGATACTGAATAACGTACATATAGATATTACTGTAAAACGCAAGATTATTTTCTTTGTTTTATAGAATTAGTTCATTAAACTCACGCCACTATGTACCGTCTACTGTATTTCTATCGATTAACAGGGAAAAACGATGCAAACGACCATCTGGAAAGATCTTTTTCTTTAGACAATCAGGGAAAGTTGACTATAAATTCGTTATGAATATTCACAACGATCGATATCTCATTGCATTTCATATATTTTATTTTATAGACGGAATAACCGACTCTAGTATAAAATCAGAAGTTAAAAACTCATAAAATTATTTCCGTTCTAAGAAATTGTGAAACTATCTGATTCAATTTATCTATCATATAAGTAACTCACGTATATCCAGTGTATTTCACCGCTCCGCTTTCACAACTATACGTTTCCAAACTTCTATGAATAATGTCATACGATAAATCCATCTCGTAGCATAGGTCTACTTTTATCTATACTCAATACCACAGATTTCTCTCAATAAAATTTATTTTTAGACATTATTTACTTGTTGACAACACTTAAACTGCGTTAAAGTTAACAATCCAACCAAAACCCAACGCCAACAGAAAACACAGAAACGTGAAGTACGTGTGCTTCGTTTATCATAAAACAAACAGCAGAAATACACTATCTCTTTTAACAAACGATAAAAAGTCATCGGACTCTTTCCCATTTTTTCAGATAGAGTGCTTCAACAACTCAAGAAAATGTACAGTTGTCTACTTAAACATCTGTCCCATACAATTAGTTCCAATTTTGCATATTTGTCTCAATACTAAATCATTAAAAATTCTATCACTCAGGCTCAAAAACAAACAATCACTATTACACAATTCCCACTCTACTATCTATTAAAATTATGCATTCAACTTGACACTTCATCTACAAACTTTTCAGATCGTTATGCAAATTTACATGCCTACCTTGTGATATCATTGTGTATCGTGTTGGAACTTCTGTATAACTGAGATCCGTTGGCTTTGATGTCATCAACGACACCGAGCTTGGCACCGACCCAGTTATGATTTCCGTTGGTGTTCTTGTTGGTCTGGATGGCACTGCACTAGTCCAAGCACTTCTAGTGGATTCTATCTCTGTACCGTTTTCGTATTCAGCTGTTGTATTCATCTCACCAGTTACGTTTTCCAATTCCATTGGTGTTCTTGTTGGTCTCGATGACACTGCACTAGTCCAATAGCTTCTTGTGGATGTTATGTCTGTGCCATTTTCGAATGCAGCTGTTCCGTTTATCTCAG